TGCCAGGCATCCGGATGCGCCCTTTGCGCAGTATATCGCCGGACAGCTGGGTTCTCGGTCTTGACTCCCGGCAACTGGCTTTCCAGCCGCAGGTCGCTCGGAAGCCATCACGGGCATATGCAATAGGCTGCCCAGCCGTAGGGTTGGACTCCCTTCCTCCCTGTTGTGTAGCCATCACTAGTCCAAGCGTGTTTGAAACAGCCAAATCAGGATTTTACGCGTGATGTCTGGGTCTGTGTTCTATCAGTTCAGAGCAGTCAGCAAGGACCATGTCCGGACCAAGTCTGTCTTTTCATACCGGATGTGCATCTCAGCTCGAAAGACATCCGAGACGTTAACGGGCTGGCGTGGGCACCACATCTGTTGAAGATCCTGAGGTGTATCTACCATGTGCTCCTAGAGCACTACAGGTACGGCGTCGGAGGCCCGCTGCTCTTTTGGAATAGTTTGGTTGGCGTGGCTTCGAAAACTCCGCATGCGGGGGACCCATTCCTGAATCAAGGGGCTGCTGTGCTTGTCTCGTTACTTCATGAAGGCTTGTTATCTGAGGAGTATGGGAGTTGAGACCGGTCACAGACATGAATGTTGGGGGTGGCAGACATGTTCGGGCTAGGAGCCTGGCAGCTCTGATGCTGCTGTAGGTCTACAGTTTTTTTTTCCATACGCACCTCCCCAAAAACTCCGGAGAGCCCCTCACCCTCAAAAACGGTGACTGTTTTGGAACCACCATCCTTCTTCCCTCCTAGGATCTCTAAGTCCCATGTGCTGCAGATGCCGACGCCAAGATTCTGGCTGAGAAAGCCTCGAAGGCTGGTGTGTAGTGTAGGCACACTGTGATGAAGTCTTCCACCCGCGGGTGACACAGTAGAGCCCGAGTATGCCTCTCAGTAGTACGTAGAAATTGCACTTCCTAACCAGGCGCGCTTTGTTGCATCGATGTGAACACAAGACTGCCTTTTTACCAGCCCTTTTCTCCCCGTGAGAAGCCCATGCTTGGTGCATCCTCTTTGTGACATGCGGCTCCTGCGTCAGCAACTTCAAGACCCAGTCTTCCTGCACCCCCTATACGGAAGAGTCTACGGACTTTGCGATCAAAAGTGCTTGGTGCTGTGAAAGTAACCTTCAGGCCCTAAACCCCAAGCCCCAATTAGATTCGGGGACCTTGGTAGGTAAGATCTTGGAGCCAAAGCGGGGAATCTCCGCGGATTCTTCCCTGTGAGGCCCTGGCCCAGGCACGGCGGCGCATGCCGGAGCACTGGACCAACGAGGACGTTCTAACGTCAGCTACTCTAAATTTAAGGGTTAGGCTTTAGGGCTTAGTTTAGGATGTCTCAATGATTCCGGGATTTTGCTGGTCAGGGCTAGTGCAGTGTTGTCCAGTTTGAGGCCTTTAAATGCCAAGGACTCCAGGTTCAAACATATTTTTGAAAAGGCTTTAGGATGCTAATGCCGGGGTTTAGGATTAGGCCCAGTTTAGGCATATTCGAGCCATCTGTCGGATGTAGTAGCTTCAGGCGACATCTGGCGCAAGCCAATGTTCTGCTTCTGCAAGTGAAAACATGAAATATAGGGGTTTAAGGTTCCTTTCTGCCGGGCAGCTGACAATGCCCTTCCAACACGATCTAGTCGATCCGTGGCAGCTGGCAAGGCTGCAGGAACATGACCCTCAAGCCTAGGCCTAGGCCATGAGAGCCCATGAATGGTTGAGGTGGGGGTCGTCAGCAGCCCGCTCGAGCATGAGTGCGTTGCCGGTGCTACATCCTCTTGATGCCTGGTGGCAATGCTGATTCGGGTGACGCCACCACTGACGTGCAAGATCGGACAGCAGATAGCTGGAATCTCCTGCGCTTGTGTCGGAGCGTTCGCTGCGATGTGGCTTATGGTCATCCTGGGATGCGGCATTGGTGCTAGTATTAGTATGTATTAGTACTAGTGTAAGTGCAGTGTTCATACAAGCAAAATAGCTGATAAGTACGAAGAACGAGTAAGTTTGCCATTGTTATTTTTCTTGCTACCGCTTCTGCTGCTGCTGTTGTTACGCTGTGATCATGCTCCTTACTGTAGAATTAGCATCATCATCATCCCTCAACCCTAAACCCTACACCCAAAACCCTAAACCTTAAACAACAAACTGAAACCCCTTATTTATAAACAGAGCCAAAAGCCAGCTTTCACAGGACCAGGTCATGCTTGACTACGTGCAGGCGGAGCCGAGCCAACGAGCGAAGCTTCCCATCCAGGCGATGCCTGGGATCCTGGGGGGCATGGGGTCGGGTTTGGGGTTTAGGGATTTGGGGGTTTAGCGTTTAGGGATTTGGGGGGTTTGGGGCATTTTGGGGCGGTTTTGGGACGTTAGGGCTTCAAGACTTCGGGGACTTTGTGTTCTTTTGGGCTCGGGAAGAAGGGTTTGGGGCTTCAGCGCTCACGGACTCCATGGTTCTTAGGGTTTGTGTGCCTTGAAAGGGATTTGAGGTCTAAGGGTCCGAGGTTGAGGGTTTTACGCGATGGCTTAGAGGGCATGAAGCACAATCGGGTCCTGTTCCAGGCTCCTACGTGCTTTCCTGAGCCCCATGCACTGCATATAAGCACCCATGTAAGTTGTAAGACTCTGCCAAGCACGAATTTTAGCGATCCTATGATGCTGCTGATGAAAACGGTCGTGGAGATGTAGATGATGATCGTGATGTGGGTGATAATGCTGCTGATGCTGTTGGCAATCATGACTATCGAGGCGATGGCCATGGCGATGTTTGGATCTGGATTAGGATGCGGGTGGATTTTCGGATTCTGTGTAGGAGCCCATGTTTTCCTGGCAGGACGTGCGCGTCTGGAAGCTCCACGGCTTTCGGCCATAGGTCGAGATGCGCAGCTTGTCGCCCAGGGCGTGTTGGGACTGAGGACACTCGGGTCTTTCAAGCTAGCTTTTACTGGGGCTCTGGATGCAGGAAAGTGTCGTACTGGGCATAGGATGACCTGCTGGTGTCAAGTTCAGGAACATGATGGAATGTCATGTCCGAGTCCTGCTCTTTTCTTCCGTGTGCAGATGAGGTCCTCTCCTCTCCCCTTGCATATCTGCAGCCTAGAGCCATTAACAATGGCGTGTCTGTACATATGGCGCAGCCACGACTTGCAAACAAGCTTGGCTTGTGCCAAAGAAGTCAGACCGTGTCAGGGTTGTGGCGGCTCAATTTCAGACTAGCCATCTATTGTCTGTGCATATTGGGTGTGAGTTTCTTTCAGGTGAAGGTTTGGAGGTGCCAGGGAAGAGGGATAATCAGTCTTGTCTTTTGAAGCTGCCTCCTCGTCATGGGGCCGGCGGGACCTGCGAAACCTTGCCTACACCTATTGCTGAAAGCTGTTTGTAGAGGTCTGGTACGTGAAAGTGCTGCCCCGGCAACCCTATCGACCCAGCGGAGAATGGGCTTCTCAGCACTGTCAGGCTTCTCATTAATTGTATGTGCGATCATGTCAGCCATTAGTCGAGCAATACTCAGTAGAACCATCGTTCGCAACACCAGGAGCATTACCTGTAGCATCAAGACGTGTTGTCTTGTCTGCATCTAGGTAGAGGAAGATGTTGAGAATGGACTGCAGTCGAAGACACAAGACCTGCTGTCACCGTCGAGCTTCATCTGCCGAGCCACCACAGCTGTGGGGGTTCAAGTGCTTGGAGGATATACGGAGCGGACCATTTCTCTTCACTTTCCTGCAGCAGTCAATCAAAAAATCACTGAAGTGCAGTTATTACCAGGGTACAGCAATTGTGAATCGCTCCAGCGAGATCAATCAAGGCAGACATTGTCAACAGAACTAGCCAGAAACGCCGGCATGATTCCACCTGGCTAAGACTTCGCCGGTTTCAGTTAAAATTCTGAAGCAGCATAGTTCTAATACCGAAGCATCATCGCTCCCATGGACACAGCCCTGCACTCTCAATCAACACACTCTAAGAAGCCCATATTGCAGTGAAAAGTGGCTTCTTAACCGGGGCCTTAGCCTACAGTACCCAAAGCCGAAGACCCTAAATCTGCTCTGCTGTCGTTTTTTCTGGGGCCATCCCATGTCCTATCGGGCCTTGTCAAACGCCAACGCCTGAGGGACGTCCGACTCCCAGGCTTCTTCCGTTGCCAAGCACACAATCTTCAGCACGCAGGTGTTCACATGTATGCCTATTCCTTCACAACTTTCGTTGGCGCTGCTCTGTGTGTGTGTGTGTGCGGGCTTCAGCATGTGTTTGTGCTTGTGCGTACGCGGGTGTGTATGTGTGTGTGTGTGTCAGTGCGTGTGTGTGTGTGTGTTTGTGTGTTTGTGTGTTTGTGTGTTTGTGTGTTTGTGTGTTTGTGTGCGTGTGCGTGTGCGTGTGCGTGTGCGTGTGCGTGTGCGTGTGCGTGTGCGTGTGCGTGTGCGTGTGCGTGTGGGTGTGGGTGTGGGTGTGGGTGTGGGTGTGGGTGTGGGTGTGGGTGTGGGTGTGGGTGTGGGTGTGGGTGTGGGTGTGGGTGTGGGTGTGGGTGTGGGTGTGGGTGTGGGTGTGGGTGTGTG